TCTTTCATTAGTGACGAGGGTAGGAGTTGGATTATTAGTGGTTGTTGTTCTTGACCTTCCTCTTCGTTTTTTTCATATGGAGGGAGAAAATCAGAAGTAAGGTTTGGAAGTAATTTGGGGGGGGGCTCGCACAGTAGGGGAAGGGTGACTCAGGGTGGTAAGTCTACCAGAAGGACGGGGTGGAGCGACAGTGGCCGGTGCTGGGGCAGTGGCTCTGTGACCATGGAGAGGAGCTTGAGGCCATTGAAGCTATGCCGAGGGTGAAAGGCATAACCACCTCTTTCAACGTAGCTGAGGCTGGGGCAGTGACCCTGTAACCCGGTTGGGGGTTGGCAGCTAAGGAAGTTGTCGAGGGAGGAAGACACTTCCTGTCCGTCAGAAGACAGTTAGTTCGGTGCTGGGGCAGTTTGTTTTGCCTTGTAACCCTAGCAAGGGGGGGGTGAGAACTGGCGATTTCTGGTACCAGGACTGAAGGCTTGAGTGGCGGTTTCTTGGCTGTAGTGAGGGTTTGACTTGGATTGGTGGCGGTTTTAGCTCTGATTTTCGTTTCTCCAATTTTCTCTATATTTTTCTCAAATCTTCTCGAATTTCTCAAATTTGAGGTGGATAAGTAGATGGTGGGATGTCAAGCATCCTATTAGTGAGGAGGGCTAGCTAGTAGGATGGAATTAGGGTACAGCAGCAGCGGAGATGGTGGCTCTGCTGCAGTGAGTCTTGCCGGAGGGAGGTAAAGAGGGTTGATGGCTTGAAGTTTGATGTTGTAATCTTCCTTGGTAGTTCTAATTTTTCCAAAAAAAAGAAAAAGAGAAAACTACGGCGCAGTCAGGGTTACAGTTTGTAATTGCATTTGAAACTACGTTTTAGCAGTTTAGTCAGGGCCCGAGTTTCAATTGCATTTGAAACTGCGTTTAGGAGTTTGAAACTCGGGCTAGCTTTTTCTAGCAGTTCAGTCAGGCACAAGGCCGTTTCTTTCTTTCTTTCTTTCTTTCTTTTTTTTTTTTCTTTTTTTTTT